GGACACTAAGGCTCATCAAGAGCTATTGAAGCGTGTAGCTTCTAGTCTCAACCTGCAGATGGAAGACCTGGAGGAACCCTGGAACTCCGTTTAATGTGTTCAGTGCCATGGCACCAGCCAGGGTGGCACTGCCAGATCATAAATGCCCTGTGGCAAATTCCATCCTCCCTGCCCTCTGTTAGATGTTTAAACCTGTCAGTTGTTGTTTGTTAAAGTCTCAGGGTAAAAATAGGGAGTTTCATGGATCCGATATGGAGTTTGAAACTTTTGACTCCTGGACACTGTTTTGTTATCATTCCTATCATCATTCAGGCACTTGGCGCATACTAAGGATGTTAACTAGCGGTTAATTTACTAGTCAAGTAGTTGATGAAATTCCCATCGACTGGTCGATAGGCACTTCCTCATTCCTCCTTTGAAATGTACAAGAACCCCATTGGGGGCTCTTGTACATTTCAAAGGAGGAGTGTGGAACTCCCGGGGCCAGTGGGAAGTCCTGCTGACTCTGGGCTGCACATGAGCCAGCTTTGAAATGTACAAGAGTCCCCAGCGGGGGCTCTTGTACATTTCAAAGTGGAAATGCCCTCATGAAGCCCAGAGTCAGTGGGGACCCTCTGGGGTCCCCCCTGAATCCCCCGCTGACCCTGGGCTCCATGTTGCACTGCTGCTTTGAAATGCTGTGTGGAGCCCGAGATCAATTGGGGAGTCCCCAGCTGACCCTGGCTCTGTGCAGCGCTGCTCCTTTGAACACCGCCTCGGCATTTCAAAAGGGCAGTGCCGCACAGCTGAGCCAGGGATCAGCTGTGCAGCACTACTGCTTTGAAATACCCCCTTCTTCTTTCTCCTCCACCAACCCCATTTGCTGTCTCTTTCTGATAGAGGCAGCAAGGGGGAAGGGGAATCAACTAGTTGACTATCTGATAAGCATTTGCTTAGTCCATATAGGTGCCAGATGGAACCACTTTCTCCCACCAGAGAGAACCCAACGTTCCAATGCCTCATTACTTTTCCTGCCGACACTTCTGTATAAGGACTTGCACGTGCAGGGCTGTCCATCTGAGAGACACTGATTGCAATACAGGCCACCAAGCTGTTCCAACAGATCATTAAAGGATACCAACATTCCTAAGATGAGACTGAGAAAAGGAAAAGCCTGCTGGGAACATCTTTAATACCATCATCCTATGGAGAATCCAGCTTATGTATAGTGAATCAAGTGACCGTGTCACCATCTTCCACGAGGGCTTCTCTGCTGGTGAAGATGACTACCATTTGTTGGACTCCCCATAGTTTCCTCTTTAGAGACTTCAAACTAGCGAAGACATTTGTAGGCAGTAGTCCCTCTAATCTTTTCCATGCATGTGTGGAATAATTTTTATGTGCACCAAGGCATGTTTAAATGTGCACTGCTAATAGAAATGAAAAACCTAGCTGTGGGTGCTCTGCTAATCAGGTGGGCAGCATTTGACTCTCTCCCGAGTGGCTGCATATGTGCACGGTTTAGAGGGAATACTCGCTGTAGGCCTTAGGTGCCCTGTTGCCACATTTCCATCAACACCTGGAATTTAAACAGGAAATAAGTTTCTGTTTTGAGGTATTGTTTATTGTTTTATGGAGCCATGGGAAGGTTTTGTTATTAGTTGGGAACTGAGGTGCATGCTCTGGGGATCAGTCACTGTGCACTATTGGGCTTGTGTTTATTTTCTCCACTGTATCCCAACTTTGTACTCTTATCCTTAATACAGTTCTCTTGTTGGCTGTCTCCTCTTTATTTCTACCTATGCTTGTTTTGCAGGATCTATCGCTTCTGGAATAGCCATAGGTAGATCTGCACCTTCTTAGAAAAGGGACTTTCCTATTTCTGTGTTCTCTGCTATTACATAGTTAGAAGAAGCGTTACCGTCCTCCCCTTGAGGTAACACACCTATCTTGAAGAAAGTAGAAAGGAAATACTTTGTGCCCACCAAGGGACATGAATATCTTTGTCCACTCAGCCTCTACCCCTCTGGTGGTGAAGGCAATCAACCACATAGAACGCCAGGGCCAGCTCACAGTGATCATAGAAATATTTGCAAGCCCCCACCTTCTGCACTCTAAGTGCCAGAGTAGGGAACAGCCTGACACACCCTCACCTGGAAATTGGAGGACAAAAATCTTATCCCCCAAGTAAGTCCAGTCTCTTAGGGTATGTCTACACTACCACCCTAGTTCGAACCATGGTGGTAATGTAGGCAACCGGAGTTGCAAATGAAGCCCGGGATTTGAATTTCCCGGGCTTCATTTGCATCTCGCCGGGCACCGCCATTTTTAAATGTCCGCTAGTGCAGACTCCGTGCCGCGCGGCTACACGTGGCACGGACTAGGTAGTTCGGACTAGGCTTCCTAGTCCGAACTACCGTTACTCCTCGTTTCACTAGTGGACATTTAAAAATGGTGGTGCCCGGCGAGATGCAAATGAAGCCCGGGAAATTCAAATCCCGGGCTTCATTTGCAACTCCGGTTGCCTACATTACCACCATGGTTCGAACTAGGGTGGTAGTGTAGACATACCCTAAGAGACTGGACTTACTTGGGGGATAAGATTTTTGTCCTCCAATTTCCAGGTGAGGGTGTGTCAGGCTGTTCCCTACTCTGGCACTTAGAGTGCAGAAGGTGGGGGCTTGCAAATATACTTTAAATATACCTTGCCTCTACACACTCTGGTTATAAAAACTCCCCCAGAGTCACTGATTCACAGACTTTCGGGGGGGCGGGTAGCTGCCACCAAAAAGTGATTTTTATCCCTAAAACTAGGGGCAAATATTTGAATTCTCCCCGAGGGGTACCCCAAGCTCTTTTGCCCCCAAAAGAAAAGAAAAACTAGCTGCAGTCTCTGGCAGGCAAATATACACACAGACTCCTGTTACTTTCCAGGATACAAGAATCAAATCATCACCTTAAAGTGGATTTTTTTTTTTAATTCATAAAACAAAAGCCAGGTGGCATTCCTCCAGTCCACATGCTGCTTTTTCTAGGCTTGTTGATGAATGACACAAAGTCCATGTGATAGAATAGGATAGAATTTGTTGGAGCAGTGCCACATGCCATGACTGACACAGCCTTTCTTCCAATGGACAAGTTCAAAGCTCTAGTAGGCCTCATGGACTCAGTCACCAGCTTTCCCATGAAAACAGATAGTGTGTGCTTCGATTTTCTGGGACATGTGGCAGAGTGCACCTACGTCATATACCATGTCAGGCTCCGTATGCCATCTGTGCAGATACGGCTGGCTTCCATCTTCTCCCAGTTCAAAGATCAATTGGACAAGGTCTGCACTGATCACAAATGAGTACTTACCTCACTTTTTGGTGATGGACTGCTCCTAGGAACACCCTTGAAGGGTCATGTTTTAGTGCACGCCTCCCACAGTCAAGCTGGTATTGGATTTGTCGTATCTCTGTTGAAGGGCTCAAGACCCAGATATGAGAGTGTGTTACCCTGGGATGCAGTAACGATTAATTTTAGAATTTAATATTGGACACGCCCTGACTTGTATTAGAGATAGTAAATGTCCCAAGTCCCAGAAGACGGGATCGCCTGAGGCCGATTGCTTGTGGTCGTATCTATCACCAACGCGTGGTTTTCTAAACAAAAGAATCTTCGAGTCTCAATTTGGGGCCAAACCATATATTGTAAGTTTAAAATACAGAACAATTTAGAATTTGGAATACAGAACAGCATGTAACAGCAATTCAATACCCTCTACCCAGAAATAAAGCAGACAGTGAAGACCCCTAGAAACAATAGGGTTATACTTTACACACTTTCATGGCCTAGGATGGCTAAGGTGTTCACGACCTCAATGCCGTAGCTAATTGGAAGATGTGGCAGAGGAGCTGTGAGGAGGTCCCATGATGTCACAGGATCTGGCCTCCAATCGGGTAGCGAGTGAGAAATGGACTCTGGATCAAAGGCCTTCCGCTCCTTGATGGTAATGCAATGGGATGTAGCCGGTAGTCCCTGGGAATTCTCCACAGGTAATAGGCAAACCCAAAATACCCACCACACTCACACGACTTCACACCGTTCAGGCTTACGCTATGACTCTCTCTCTCTCTCTCTCTCTCACTCGTTCAACTTACCATTCATACTACAACAGAGGGACATACACAGAACCGCACGTACTAGAACCCAGGAAGAAAAAGGGAACCCGAACCTCTCCTGAACTAGGGTATATAAACTCTCTTTGGCGGGAAAGTCTCCAGGGTGCTGAGTGCACTCTGTAGCGTGTGGGGTGCATAACAATTTGAACCGTGTGCATGTATTTAGTGCGGAGTGCAGAGCAGTTTAGTGCCTAGTGCAGAGGATTAGAGAGATGTGCAAAGCACTAGTGCCGTGTGCAACTAGAGAAAAGGCGGGAAAACCCCCTCCCTCTTAGCCTTAGTTCGAATTAACATTGATAGTTTGACTCCTTAGTTCGACTTAACTTCCTTAGTCTGGAAAGGACAGCACTCATAGCACACTACATTCCTCTCCCACACCACCAATAAACATATAACATTCAAACTGAGGTAACAAGAGCTTCACATCACCATCAAAATTGCTCAGGCAGTCCATGTTGCATGCAGGGCCTTCTACCATCAGCTGGCAGGCAGAGTGTTCGGAGTCCACACAAACAATATGGCCTTGATCTTTTACATCAATTGGCAAGGAGGGAGCTCATTCTTCAGCCCTCTGCCGGGAGGCTTTCAGGCTTTGCATCAGACACAACCTTGTCTTGTCACCTTCCGGGCGTCCAGAACTCCCAGGCAGATCATTTAAGTTGAGAATTCTCTTCTCGCCACTGGTGGACGGTACACTTGGCGGTTGCCTCAGATCTTTCAGAAGTGGGGCACTCTCCAAGTGGTTGTGATGTTCTCAGTTCTGTTCCTGGCAAGGCTGGAACGAGAGCTCCCTGTCTGACTCCTCCCTCATGTGTTGGACAGGAGATTTGCTGTACATGTTTACCCCGATCCTGCTCATCAGCAAGGTTCTGCTGGAAAATCAAGACGGATAGGGTCCGAGATATCATGATAGCTTGTATATGGCCCAGGCAACATTGGTGTGGGACCTTGTTAAACCTGGTGGTGCTCTCCCCATGGCAACTACTGGACAGCCCAGACCTCTTATCCTGAGACCACAATCGCCTCCTCCATCCTAACCTTGCTAACCCAGAGGAGCAGACCTGTTCGGAGGGTGTCTTCCAGGTCCTCCACAGAAGCAGAAAACCTTTGACACATCAGACCTACCTGCAAAATGGCCGATGGTCTCCTGTTGGGTGGCTGATCACGGTGTTTTCCCTTGGACCACTATGATCCAATCAGTATTGGATTATCTGCTCCATCTAAAAAATCAGATTTTTTGCTCAAGATGCATCTGGGGGCCATTTCCACCTTTCACCCCATGGTCCTGTCTCACACTCTTTTCTCTCACGACAAGACAGGGCCAGGGTTCTGAAGCAACTTTTCCTTCAGGTCAGGCCCCAGTTCCCAAGGGGAACCTGAACTTAATCCTGTCCAGGCTCATGAGACCTCCCTTTGAGCCTCTGGTTACATGCTTCTGGTTCCATCTATCCTGGAAAGTAGCATTACTCATGGCTATCACATCAGCCTAACAAGTCTTTGAGCATTGTGCCTTGACCTCTGAAGTGCCATGCATGGTCTTCCATAAACATAAAGTCCAGTTCCGGCCACACCCACTGGCCATCAATGTATGCATTAACTATGCCCTAATCACCCAGACTAGGTTCACCAGAGCTGTGCTGCTCCCTACTTGTCCCTGTAGGGACTCCTTCCTGCCTCCAGGTGAATACTGCTGGGGAGTTACCTACTGTGGCATGCCCATGAGCAATCACTGGAAGAAGAATAGACAGTCACCTGTGCTGTAACTAGTGTTCAAGATGTGTTGCTCACGTCCGTGCTACATCCTGCCTTTCCCACTGTCAGAGTTTCCGGCATGAAGGAGCTATGCGCAGGAGCCCCATGGAGTTGCCTCTCCAAGGATTACTGCGGGTGCTCCCCTACAGGTACTGCTAAAGAAAAAAATCTGGCACTGCTGCATATGGAGAACACGCTCACCCAACGTGGAGTGGACATTAACAACATACGTTCAAGAGCAACAGTTATGGAACAGGTAACTGTCTTTTATGCTTTCATATCACTTTTGAGTTGCCCTCATCTTTACAGGTAATTTATTTGCATTAAGTGGCACCAAAGGGTCAAAATTGAATTGTAAGCAAAGTGTGCTAGATGAACCAAACCGCTCCTGTGTCAAAGCTTACTCAATCTGCATAGACAAAACAAAATGTATAATGGGCTGAAGCAAAGGTTGTGACTTTCCAATGTCACATAGTAGAGTATTACAACAATGTTACTCTTCTGTTCCTCATGTGTGATACTAATATTGACTTGCGCAGCATGAGGACTTACTATCTTAGTCGACTTACAGAGACTATAAATGAGCACTTTCTAAATGAAGTGGTTACATTTCAAAGCTGCCTCTCTCTCAAGGCCTTTTGGCAGAGACATATCATCCCTAATGATACTATATGAAGATATGAGCCCATTTAACACTGTGTTAATGAATTCAATCTAGTGTCCTGTCCACTAGCCAATGCTCTGTCTCCGTTGAGTTGGTTGATTAGTTATAGCTAAAAATTGAATTTATAGAATTTGATTCTATTTCTGGCAGTCTGGGGCTAAAGATAAACACTTTTGGGGGATGTTGGGTTATTACTCTCTTAACATAGAAAAAAGGAGTCTCAAACTGGTTCCTATGGTGAACCATCCTAAAAGAGAGGAATTGGGCTTGTACTTTTACATTAAAAACAAAACAAATTTGCTGGTTGTCTTTAAACTCAGGTTTGGTTCAGTCTGAAATTAGAATTAGTAAAATGATATCAAGAGAATGAAAGCTAAGCAAATGAGATGGGAAGGATTTTAATCAGTGTTTACATTTGTTAGCTCCATTTTTTAAAAATTAAATAGATGTTCTTTATCTGTACACAGTGTCTCATAGCCATTTTGGATAAAGGACTCATTCAGTATCCCAGCAACTTCAATTAGTGAGATCTCACAATACACTGAAGCTGTCCTACAGCAAAGCATGAAAAGACTAGACTTGATCTAGCCAAGGTAAGTGTGCGGGTTCTTTTGTGCCACCTTCCTCCCTTCCCCCATTTGGATAAAATACCTTTAGGTCTTCCTTATACACAGTACTTTTAAAAAAAAAAAGTCTACAACCCTAATTCTTCAAAAAAAAGTGTTTGTGTCTTCTCATAGAGAACCATGTAACCCTGCTCCCCCAACCTGCCTGAGCTACCTACAACAATTGTTTGTTAGGAAAAAGGACATGAGGAAAATGCATTTTTAGCTGCCTTCATGCAGTTTAGCAGCTAAAATCAAGGAAACTGAGCAGGAAGTGGGTGCTTTTAGCAGTCCACAGATCTGCCCCATGTAACTGCCTGTACCATATAATAAACCATACTGTTAAATTCATGGTAGAGTTGAGTGCCTTATTCACCATTCTGAGAAGGTGACTTAGTTCAGTAAAATGAACTTTTTAAAAGCAGGGTGGTATTTGAAGAAGTCACTTCTAATACAAAATGCAGGACAATGTAGCACTTTAAAGACTAACAAGATGGTTTATTAGATGATGAGCTTTCGTGGGCCAGACCCACTTCTAATACAGTGTGACTGATCTGTTTTAAATGTATTACTTATACACTGTCTGGATTTTCTACCCTAGACTATAAATAACATTCTCCATTTATAAAGTAGTCTTTCATTTCAAAGCTGCCTGCCTCTCTAAGCCTTTTAGGGATTGCCTGTCTCTGCTAACGATATATGAACATCTTAGCTCTTGTGACATTACTTATTAGTGAGAGAACCAAACATGGTTAAAACTTCCTCTGCTGTGAGAGAGTGTAGTTTAATTATAATCCCTTTTACCAAACTGCTGAAGCAGTCATCTTTTCTCAAGGAAGGTTTGACAAGAACTACCTAGTATTTCCTAAACCTAATTTTTTCAAACCACATCTTCCATGATCCCAGATTTTCAACCTGCTGCTATCAAGCATAGATTCAATAGCAGAGGCTATTGAGTCATCTTTTATTGTATATTACAATTGCTAGTTTACCGAGTTATATGTCTAAAAAAATGAATACAATTGGGGAAGCAATATTCTTCTTCGAGTGCTTGCTTATGTCCATTCCACTAGGTGTGCTCGTGCCGCATGCACAACTGCTGGAACTTTTTTACCCTTAGCAGTGGGCCAGTCAGGGAGCCCCCAGCATGGCGCCAGTATAGCCGTGCATATATACCCCTGCTGGCCCCAACCCCCCTCAGTTACTACTTACCGCCCGTGACAGTGGACCGGAAGGCTTGTCTTGCTCTGGGAGACAGTCCTTAGTGATTAGCTATCTAGTGTAAATAGTTGTCTGTCTTAGTTAATGTTAGTTCCTTGTTGTGCATAGTTAGGGTGTTAGAAACACTCCCTCCTCCCGGCGGGGGGGGGGGGTGGGGGGGGGGGGGGGAGGGAGCGAGCGGGCCGGCGCTGTTCTAAGCCTATGCCCTGCAGGGACCCGCACAAGGATTGTCTAAAGTGCTTGGGTGAGGGGCATCTTACTGACTCTAGTAAAATCTGCAAGTCGTTTAAGCCCTGTACTATGAGAGAGCGCGACTTGAGACTTAAATTCATATTGATGAAGTCGGTGCTTCAGCCCCAGGCACCAGAGCCACTGTCGGTGTGGGCAGGGTCGGCTCGAGGCCCTTCTTTTGCCG